CTCGCCCACCCCTCCACTACCCCACTCTAACCTTTTCACATCCACGACTGATACCTTCTGAAACCTTCTCAACCTCACAGGGACTCAACAACCTTATTCGCAGTGCTGGAATGTAATCCCTCTCTTTCTCTCTTGCTTCTATTTCTTTATCTCTCTCTCTCTCTCTCTCTCTCTCTCTCTCTCTCTCTCTCTCTCTCTCTCTCTCCCTGTCTCTCGTTACACTCGAAAGATTTTATTGAATTTTCTTTCCAACTTAACTCGGGCGTTTCTGCTTTTAGGTAGGCACCTACCTTTATTTGAAAAAAAAAGGATTTTTTTGGTTTTCTTTCATTCCCTCTCTTCATTCCTTCTTTCTCCCTTTAGCTCGTTATATACTCACTCTTCTTTCTCCCTCTGCCTGCTTCCTCGACGTATTCTGGGATTTTCGTATTTTTAACGTGAAAAATGAATTTCACTCGCTTCGCCTGTAATTATATTAATTTGCTTTGTGAGACATTTTTATTCGTATTTTTTGGAACCTTCCACAGGTGGTTCCGTCCGTGCGCTTATTTTTACTCAAAAATACGTTTCTGCCCGGGACAACCTTGACGGATAATCCAAACGGTTAAGTTTTAGCTAAATTCCTCGAGGAATTTTACCTGTTATTTATTTTTATAAAGATTTCAATTTTTCACTGTTTTACTCATTTTATACTCACAACTCGTATAACGTGTGTAATGCACTATTTTTGTGCTTATCAGTTTTTCATAAAAGTCACGTGGTATTAATAACTTTGGACTCTGTTTAATATTATGTGTTTTTATACACCACTCATGCATTGTTATGTATATTTATTTACAATAGTCTCTGGAACCGGGTTTAACCTAAAATAGTGGGATTAAATATATGCGTCTTATAACGTTAGAGAATTTTCAAGCACTCGCCAGCCCTGCCGGTTACGGTACTCTTATACCCTTCACGGGACCCTTTTCTCTGCTGCTCAAACTACCCGAGCCTGGTGTATTTGCATTGCATTTGCAAGCGGGTCGACGTGGAGAACTCGGCCCCAAAAAAGAATGGGTGAATAGTGACGGCGCCCACGCCAAT